TGGTCCTTCATCTTCTTCGGCTTGCTTTGCATCCTTTCCTTTAACCTCAAGTTCGCCCAGGACCTTTTGAGCTTCCCTTGATGCCAGCGTCTGGCGCATCTTCTCCTTCTGGTGTGCCTCATACTGTTGGCGAAGTTCTTCCCGACTTGGTGTCGAAGTAGTATGGTCACCTTCCGTTCCGAGCAGGTCGACAACTCCCTTCTCATCCTTTGCTGTCCAGATCTCTGGAGTAGACTTCTCAGCCTTCCTTTTCGTACTTGCAGCTCGGCGAGCCTCTTTCCTCTGCGTAGCTGCTTCTTCCGGACTGAGGTAGGGGTAGTCTCCATCTGTACGAGCTCTATCCTTGTAGGCTTCGTTACTTTTGCTGACCTCGGTCGAGAGCGACCCGTAGTCGCACAAGGCGAGCATTGGAAAGAACTTTCGATACGGGTTGGGTCCTTTCTCGTCATCCTTGTATCCAGGTCTTGAAACTCCACGCATCGGATACATTCGCCTAGTGGTGTTCTTGGCATCCAAAATCGTAAGCATGGGTTCGTACAGAACAAAGGACATTCCATGGAACTTGCACTGCTTTTTCCAGTGACCTCCATGCCAGCATAGCGAGCACAGGCTCCTCCCCGGAGGGAGTGCGGAATACACTGTTCTTCCTCGCGAAGTTTCCGTAGGCTCGGAGTCCAACCTTCCTTTTCCGGCTGGGTGCATACTCCAGCATTCCAGCCCATTGCATCTTCCGATTCCTTTAGCTTCGCGTCGAGAAGGTACCAACCGTACACTGTATTTCTCCAGTTCCTCATTGATACTTTCATAGTCGCTGTATCCTGACAACTGCCAAGGGAACTTCCACAACGGCTGGCTCTCTCCTCCGCGATCTCCGAATCCGCGGAGAGCCAACTGCTGAAGCAATGCAGATAGCTCCTTTGTCCATGAGGCTGAAAAAGGGGTGACGGAGTTCGGCAAAAAGGATTCACCGTCTTGGAGTTCTCCATGCTTTTCTCTCCAATCTTCTTCATAAATCCTTTCCGTCCACTCTTTGCCTGGGGTCTCTTCTGGCGGTTGCTTCTTACCCTTTCCGCTTCGTACGGACTTCTTTCTTTCGGCCTTTTCTCCTTCTTCTGCAGTACGCTTTGCTTCCTCTGCTTTCTGGCGTTCTGCTGCATCCTGAATCCGGGGCATTCTCTTCGGAGTTGCTTTGACAGAGGGTTCCGGTGGTTCTGGTGCTTGGGTCGTACTGTCGTGCAGTTGGACCAACATCCTTTCCAGGCCACGTTCTTCCCCGTAGCGAATGGCAATCTGAAGTGCTTTGCCCATGGCTGATTGCAGCCTCTCTGAGGATACGAGGAAGTTTCCTTGAGCCTTTTCCAAAGCTTTGGCCGAAGACTTCCACTCAGCCTCAGCCTTACGCGAAATCTCCACCTGTTCATCCTTCTTTGAACGCAGTCGGTCCACAACTTCCCGGACCTTGTTGCGATACCACACTTCTGCAGGATCCAAGGTTTCCATTGGCACCGAAACCTGCTTTGGTCGCTTGTTAGCCTCCTGGAGTTCTTTCGCTCTTCGCTCGGCTTCTTCCACTGCTCGGAGACGCTTTGTTTCATCCTCAAGTTCTTGCTGACGTTGCTGGGCTTCCGCTGCAAGGATACGCTTTTGCTCTTCAAGCTCTGCAAGCTTTCTCTTCCGATTCTCCGCTTCGGAAAGCTTACTCCTTTCTTCTTTGCGAGCTTCTGCTTCTTGAAGGGATTCGAGCTTCTTCGTACTCTCATCCTTTCCTGGGGACGTATAGAACGATCGAGGCATGTAGTCCCAGTTGTTACGAAGCATCTGGTTGTACAACTGAAGGAAAGGGGGCTGATACTTCCGATCAAGACCGAACCGCTTATATTCTTTCTCAAGCAACCCAACATTCTCAATCGTTCCTGCCAAGTCCATTGCTTCATCCAGCTTACGGCGAACTTCATCAGGACTTGTTGCTTCTTCCAGCTTTCGCTTTTGCTTCTCTGCCTTCTTGCTTCGCTTTTCTTCTTTCCTGGCAGTCCTCTTTTCTTTCTTCTTCTCTTCTCGCGACTTTGCGCTCTTAGCCGTGGCCGGGGTTCTTCTTCCTCCAGTACTTGGGGCAGCTTCACTCCTCGCTGGAGTCTGAGCTTCCACCAATGCCATACGGCGGCTTCTGGCAGCACTTTGCATTTCTTCCAACTCTGCTCGTCGCTCTGCCATAGCTCTTTCTTGGTCCTGTTCCTCAGTGCTTTCGACCACTGGGCCTTTGGGTCTCCCCACTGGCGGTAGGGAATACTTCTCGGTGAAACGAGTGTTCTTTTCTTCCATGGGAGTGTTCTCCTCTTCCATGGTTCGTACGGACCAGGAGATTCCCATACACAGCTTTCCTTATCCTCTTCGAGGGGAAATGGCTGCGGCAAGATATCAAAGTGAGACGTGTTTTTCCAGATGCAACTTGTTCCTTGCACACTTCCTTGGCTCAGTAAGATCCACATACAGAATCCAAACATGATTCGCAAGAGGTCCTTGTACAGCTTCTCCAGGTTCACCGTCATGGCGTTCGGGGTTCTTACAATCCAGTTTCCAGGTATTCTCGAATACTTCTTCCGGTTCCAATCCGGGCTTCCAGGGTTTCCTTCTTCCCACAAGCTTCCTGGATCTTCAGGCTTACTTCGCTCCGCTACCAAGTTAAACTGTAAGACCCTGAGCGTTCACGCTTTTCCTGCTTAAGCCAAAGGCGCTGCATAGTCACACTGTACAACTATACATGTTATATCCGTAGCCTAGGGCTCACCAAAGGTGTGGGGCGTTTCCATGTACAAGATTTAACAGATCGGCCGGTCCTCCTCTGGGAATAAAACTAATAAAAAGTGTATTGAGATGCTTTGTTGAAAATCATAAGATCGAGGAGGACCGCTTGGTCCAACATTTCAAATCTTCCGTCGCCGACGCATCGCCGCCTGTGCTGGTGAATACGGCCTTTGAGGGGTGGATTTTGCTTCCAACAGCATGCAAAAGTGAAGTGAATGATTGCAGAGTTTGAAAGCTTGACCGAAAGGTCATCCGACCGCTTCAGGATCGAGTGCAGCTTGTGTGCGAGCTATGATGTTGAATCACATTTGCCCGCCACAGGTGTTGTACCAGCTCTTGCTGCTCTTCGAAACGATGTGGAGATCCGGGATTTCTTCGTTCGAGCCGAGGACAAACAGGGATCAGGGCTTAAGGGTTTAGGGTTTGGGGTTTGGGGTTAGGAGGGCTTAAGGGTTTAGGGTTAGGGTTTGTTTTAAGGTTTAGGGTATAGGGTTTAGGGGGGCTTAAGGGTTTAGGGTTAGGGTTTGTTTTAGGGTTTAGGGTATAGGGTTTAGGGGGGCTTAAGGGTTTAGGGTTAGGGTTTCATTTCAAGGGTATATGGGTTTTAAGGTTGCGGTTTTGGCAGTGGGTTTATAGGTGTTGGTATAGGTTTGGTGTTTGGGGTTATAAGGCTGTAGGGGATACGCTTCACCCACACACCCCACACACCCCACACACCCCACACCCACACACCCGCACACCCACACACACACACACACCCACACACCCACACCCATCCAACCACCCACCCACCCACACACCCAACCACCCACCCACCCGCCCAGCCACCCACCCACACACCCACACAGACACCCAGCCCACCCAAACCCACCCCCCACACACCCCACACCCACACACCCCCATTCACCCACACTCCCACACCCCCACACACCCACACACCCACACACGCCCACACCCAAACACACCCCCGCACCCCCGGACGCCCACACACCCGCACCCATCCACACCAGCCACCAACACCCTCGACCCCACAAAATCTCTGCTTTCTCTCCTTCTCCTGAGACCTGCCCACCAACTGCCAAAAAAGATCCATCTTAAGTTTATCTTAATTTCAAACAAAAATTAAGATGATATCTTAATTTTATCTTAAGTTTTTATAAAATTAAGATAAAATTAAGATGTCATCTTAATTTTTATTCGAAATTAAGATAAACTTAAGATTCTATCTCAATTTTTTATGTGAAATTACGAAAAAATTAAGATTGACTAAACCCCAAAACCCCGCCCCCCAACCCAACCCCCCAAGCCAAGCCAGCAGCCCAGCCCAGCCGCAGCAAGGCCCACCCCCAACCGCCCAGCCCAGCACCCCCCAAAACCGCCAACCAGGCAGCAACCCGGCCCAAGCCAACACCCCCCAAGCCCGCCAGCAGCCAGAGTAAACCCCAAACCCCGCCCCCCAACCCAACCCCCGCAAGCCAAGCCACCCGCAGCAAGACCCCCCACCAGCCAGCCCAGCACCCCCCAAACCCACCCAAGCCCAAACCGCAGCCCAAGCCAACACTCAGGCCCCAATCCCATCCACCAGCCCACCCAGCCCACCCAGCCCGCCCACCCCAGCAGCCCAGCACCGCCGTGGGCTCCCACCCACCGCCCACCCCGCCCGCCCCACACCCCCCGCCCACCCAGCCCCAGCCCGCCCATCCCCCACCCAGTGGCCCACCCAACCCAATTTCAAAGCTTGTTCCAGCCCCAGCCACAGCACCAGTTCCAGCCCCCACCCAGCCAACCCCAGCAGCCCCACCACACTTAAATCAAGGAACCGCCCAAACCTGACCCAACCCCTAGAACACTTCAGGCCTAAACCCCCAGGCCGTCTAGACCCTACTACACCCCAAGACCGTGAACACCAAAACGCACAACCCTAAAACCCGAAACACCAAAACCCGTATCAACCCTTCAAAACCACCAAACACCTACTATGTGTAAATGTATATACACATGGATATATATATATATATATATATATATATGTGTATACACAAAACACGTATGTATGTATGTATGTATGTAGAAACATCTTCGTACACATGCACATGCATATGCTTTTTTCACTCACCTGACCGAACAGGTCATGACAGTAGGTCATAGGATGTTTTAGTTGGTGACTGATCAGGCCGTAGACGCTGAACAGCGACGTCATGTGGAATCGGGCATTGTGCCGGATAGCTTCAGCAATCTGCGAAAACTGCCCCCAGTGTCCTCCTTTCCTTGCACAGATGCCGGCCATGAAGAAGCCAGCAGCCGCCGCTTTTAAGAAGCCTTCGGCTGCCACGAGCGACCCGGACGAGGACACCCAGCTTGTCCCGGTCCAGGAGATGTCTCTCGATGAGAAGATTGCCAAGTGGAAGCAGACGAACCCGGAGGAGAGGTCTGCCGCCCCTGACCTCTCCCTGGATGAGTGGCGAAAGGTCAATGGACGTGCAAACACGGCGATAAAGGGCAGCGAGGAAGGCCAAAAGGATTGGGAGGAAGCTTCGACTTCTTCTGGCCCCACCTCGGTTAACAAAAAGAAGAGGAGCTTTTTGGTGGCCTTCCTGCTGGACCCAAAGTTCGGCCCTGGCTTCCAGAAGTACACGCAGGAGATTGTCTCGTCGAACAAGTCCAAGACCGTGCTCAAGCCCGAGACCTGGAAGGAGCTGCTCAACCGGTACGACGAAAGCGAGATCCACGCCATGATGGATGCCGCTGTGATTTATGAGAAAGTGGATCCGAGGTGCCCCGGAGTGATGAAGTATCTGGACACCAGCCAGACCCGGGAAACAAAAACGTTCGACAAGCGATCCAGTATGAGCCAAGGAGTCGCCAAAGGGTTGAAAGGTGACAGCAATGAAGCTGATGCCAAAGAGATGGATGGAGCAATGGCAAGGTTGCTGGTCGACCTTCCAACCCGGCTCCGGGCTCTCGTCGTTTGCTGGGCAGATCGAAGACGGTCGGGGCGGCTCCAGCTCCAAGCAGAACCCGGGCGACGAGAAGGAGAAGGAGGGCAAGACGAAGCGATCGGCCTACGAGAAGCTCTGCGACGAGATCAATGCTTTGGCAGACGTCGATGCTGCCAGGAACAAAGCCACTGGCATCAAGACCCTCTTGGATGGCATGATGTCAAGGCTGGATACCATGGCTACGAAGGGAAAGACGTCCAAGTACTGGACCCCGAAAGTCAAGAAGGATTTTGCCACCCTGCACAACAACATGAAGAATGCCAGCGACAAGTGCAAGAGCCTCTTCGTTTCCAAGAAGCTCAAGCTCGAGGCCATGCAGGAATTGTTGCTTGGCCTCGCCGAGATCCTTCGCGACTGCAGCAACAGCTTGACCAGCCATGGCAGGGTCTTCGCCTGAGGGGCGATCTTTGCAATCTTAAGATCTCATGGCCTCTGCGGTTTTGCCAGCATCTGCCAGAGGCTTAGGCTTTGCCTCCGGCTTGCTGGGTTTTGATCGTAGGCATGGGCAAATCTGAAGCACGTGTGGCCCGCACACCACCTCAAGCTAATTTTCGCCGCTGAAGGAAAAAAATGCTTGCCTTAGCCCTGTGCTGCCTGCAACCGTATAGAGTGCATGCTTGCTTGCAAGCAGTCGCATGTGTTCATAGCTTCTGCTCGAGCATCGCAACCTTGCCTCCTGCTGCCTCGCACTTGTGATCATGGGCTCGTTTTGTTGCCCCGGCCACCCAGAAGAAGAACGATGCCAAGAACAATGTGCTGAGCACGGTGATCGCTGTGTGCGGCTTCATGGCAATCATGAGGGGCACTGGTGTCCCAAATGCGTTGTGGAGCACTATCAGTGGCAGGACGATGAACGGCTGCGGTGGCGAGCACAAGGTCGATGCGGCCCGTCGCCAGTCGCAGAGTCCGGTTCGAACCAATCTAGCCCTTAGGCAGGCTACGCCGCCGAAGGCAAAAATTTTGCACGCAGATGCCGAGCAGAAGATCGAGGCGGCCCGTAAGCATAAAAAATTCTGCACGCAGATGCCCGAAATCGCACGCTGTGCCTGTACATTCAATGCCTGGACATGTGTCTGGACAGACAATATTGTCATGTTGTTTTCATAGTAATCAATACCTGGACAGGCAGCAATTAAATGATTTATATCTCGATCGAAGCGATTTTCTCAAAGGAGATATTGAGCACCTAGAGCCTTGAGCCATGGAGACACCTCCGAAAAGGGCTCGAGAAGTTGAAGAGACGACGCCCGAACATGCCGAGAAGAAGAGAAAAAAACAAAGAAGCTGCTTTCAGCACATGTGTTGGCGATGATCGAACAGCTCTCGGAGATGGCTGCGAGGGCCACGGAAATGGCGAACTCGTTGATCACCGAGAACCACGAGCCACAGAATCCAGATGATGCTGTGACCTTGGTCTTGGGGCACCTCGACGACGTCGACGACCGGATTCGGCTTTTGGATGATGAGCTCGCAGCGATCGAGAACATGGACTGAGATAGAGATGTAGCTATAGGTGCAGTTTTGGAATCTGAGTTTGAATCTGGGAGGCAGACGACATCGGGCAAGTTCCCGTCAAGCTCCCTTCGCAGTGGATGCAGCTTCTGGAAGGCCAGCCTTTGATATTCCAGTCCATTTTCGGTACCCCGGAGAACATCAAGAGTTTCTGGTCTAAGGCGAGACCAGACCAGGACCCTCGATTGCAAAATCATCCTATGTTCCGCAAGAACTGGAAGGAAAAATGCATCCCTTTGCTTTTCCACAGCGATGGAGCAGCTTTCCAAAACAACGACTCCCTGGTGACATGCTCCTTCCGTGGATTGCTGTCTAGCCAAGCCGGGATGCAGGACCACCTTTGGATCTTCTCTTTTCCGAAGAGTGTCACTACTGAAGGTACCTTGCATACGCTGTGGTCCTGGATTGTCTGGAGCTTGGAGGCCTTGTTTCATAACAGGGGTGTGGGTGTGGGTGGGGGGGTGGGTGGGGGGGGGGTTGGGGGGTGGGGGTGGGTGGGGGTGGGTGTGTGGGGGTGGGTGGGGGTGGGTGGGGTGGTGGGGGTTGGGTGGGTGGGTGGGTGGGTGGGTGGCTGGCTGGCTGGCTGATTGGCTGGCTGGCTGGCTGGCTGGCTTGGCTGGCTGGCTGGCTGGGTGGCTGGGTGGCTGGGTGGCTGGGTGGCTGGGTGGGTGTGGGTGGGTGTGGATGGGTGTGGGTGGGTGTGGGTGGGTGTGGGTGGGTTGGTGGGTGGGTGGGTGCGTGGGTGGGTGGGTGGGTGGGTGCGTGGCTGCGTGGGTGTGTGGGTGTGGGTGTGTGTGTGCGTGGGTGGGTGCGTGGGTGTGTGTGTGTGGGGGTGTGTGTGTGTGTGGGGGTGTGTGTGTGTGTGTGTGTGTGTGTGTGTGTGTGTGTGTGTGTGTGTGTGTGTGTGTGTGTGTGTGTGTGTGTGTGTGTGTGTGTGTGTGTGTGTGTGTGTGTGTGTGTGTGTGTGTGTGTGTGTGTGTGTGTGTGTGTGGGTGTGCGTGTGCGTGTGCGTGTGCGTGTGCGTGTGCTTGTGCGTGTGCGTGTGCGTGTGCGTGTGCGTGTGCGTGTGCGTGTGCGTGTGCGTGTGCGTTTGCGTGTGCGTGTGCGTGTGCGTGTGCGTGTGCGTGTGCGTGTGCGTGTGCGTGTGCGTGTGCGTGTGCGTGTGCGTGTGCGTG